CCCCTCTCGGCGAGTTGCTTTACGCGTCAGCCCGCTGACCGAAATGACGCTACCGAGGAACCCCACATACTTATTTTATGTCACGTGCGTTCACAAACCATGTCGCATCTCGCTTCGCCATCCTGACGAACAGACTGACCAGACCAGCCAGATAAGCCAGACCAGCCAGACTGACCAGACCAGCCAGATCATTCGTTCCAGCCATAACCAGCCAAAGTAATCAGACCAGCCAGCCAGGCCAAGCAAGCAGACCAGCCAGACCAGCCATACTGGTCATGCCAACAACCGCAGCTAGAACCAGCTGGACTAACCACACGAGCCAACCAGGCCAACCAAGCACACCAACTAGACCTGACCGACAAGAACAGACCAACAAGACCACGCCAACCAGACCAACCAGACAAACAAGCGTCGTGGTACTGAGCGTACTGAGCGTCGTCGTCGTCGTCGTCGTACTCGTCGCACTCGTCATCGTGCTCGTCGTACTCGTCGTCGCACTCGTTGTCGTGCTCGTCGTTGTCGCCTCTGTGTCAGCAGCCGCGCTGCCGGCCTCGCGCGCTCGCCGCACCTTCGCTGGCGGGCCGCCGCCGTTGTCTAAAAGAGCCTCCTGGGGGAATCCGCCCGACGCAGGGTTCTGCAGGTACGCCACCAAGCACTGCCTCTTGCCGTCGTCGTTCATCTCCGAGTACCTCGCGTAGAACATATCGGGCCACCAATTGTGAAGCTGGCCGCGGTACGCATTCAAAGCGGACTGCACCACTCCGTTGGCGCATCTGCGGGAGGTTTCCACGCTAACTTCGCCGCCCATCTGAACCATTGCAGTCCTCATCGCCAAACATGGAGGTGGCAGCGCGTCCACGGCGATTTTGGGAGGCATGGCTGCCGCGCAGGTCGGGCGGTGTTCTGAAGTAGGACTACAGGAGCGCGCCTGCGTGAGAGCGCAGGCGCGCCGAGCCGGCTTGAGCCAAGGTGTTTACAGTTCTTGACAAGATACGAGCTCCCACCCCAAGCGCACCCCTTGTGGCGTCGACGAAATGCCACGCCTTCCACGCCCTGGGGGCCTGCAGCGCATAGGGCTCCCACCCCCAGCGCACCCCCTGTGGCGTCGAGGAATGCCACGCCTGCCACGCCCTGGGAGCCTGCAGCGCATAGGGCCCCCACCCCCAGCGCACCCCCTGTGGCGGCGAGGAAATGCCGCGCCTGCCACGCCCTGGGGGCCTGCAGCGCACAGGGCCCCCACCCCCAGCGCACCCCTCTGCGGCGTCGAGGGAATGCCACGCCTGCCACGCCCTGGGAGCCTGCAGCGCATAGGGCCCCACTCCCAGCGCACCCCCTGTGGCGTCGAGGAAATGGCACGCCTGCCACGCCCTGGGAGCCTGCAGCGCATAGGGCCCCCACCCCCAGCGCACCCCTTGTGGCGCCCAGGAAATGCCACGCCTGCCACGCCCTGGGGGCCTGCAGCGCATAGGGCCCCCACCCCAAACGCACCCCCTGTGGCGTCGAAGGGATGCCCTGTGTGCTTTGCTGTGGTGTGCTGTGCTGTGCTGCTGTGCGGTGAGCTGTGCTGTGCTGTGGCGTGCTGTGCTGTGCTGTGCTGTGATGTGCTGTGCTGTGTTGAGCTGAGCTGAGCTGAGCTGTGCTCAGCTGTACCGTGCTGGGCTGAGCTGAGCTGAGCTGTGTTGAGCAGTGCTGTGAGGAGGAGGAAGGGGGAAGAGTGAGGTGAGTGTCGCGGGTGTGTCGCAGGCGCGGCGCGGCAGGGAAGAAAACCAGAACCCCACGAAACATGTGGGGAAAAAAGATCCCCACCAGTACGGTCCTTTGGACCACCCTGGTTCTCGCGCTTCGCCGACGTCCGGGGCATCGATTTTGCATTTCTCTTTCCTACCTCGACCGACGGTTCGTTGGCCACGGCCACCCTGGTGCCCACGCAGTCGTGTGAGGTACGGTATCGCGTTCTCTCTCTCTCTCTCTCGGAGGTGTCCTGGGCCGTCGTTGACTTTCCGACGTATGGCGCATCCGACGGACTTGCAGCTTTGCGCGCTAGCGGTTCCCCTCAGTCTCATTCTATTCAACCACCCGCGTGAGGCCTCGGCCGGCGTTTAGTGGTCGCCTCGCGCGTTGCTCTGCATCATTTTTCGCGCGCTTCCTCTGCTTACTTGGTCTCTGCGTAGTCCGCTTTGACCTGAGTCGCCGCCGGCGCGCTCGCCGGAGCCGCTCGCCCGCGGCCGCTGATCAAAAAGTATCCCCACCAGTCCCGCGTTGCCTCTGTGCTTCGCCTGTATTTTTCCCGCGCGTCGCCGGCGTCAATTGCGCTGTGCCTGGCTTTCGCTTTACGACCTGTTTGGACGGCGCGCAGCTCTTTGCGTCGTTCGCGAGCAAAAACATCCCCACCAACACACCCAGAAACAATGTCCAGGGGAGTTGACGTGATCAAGGAAGTGGGGGAGCATGCAGAAGAACAAAGGGCGGGGGAAGCCGTCATATACCCCCAGAAGGGGAGGATGGAGGAGGAAGCGTCGTCGTCGTCGTCGTCGTGGTAGGAGGAGGAGGAGAAGGAAGAGGAGGAGGAGGAGGGCGAGGACGAGGAGGACGAAAATAAGGAGAAGGAGGAAAACGAGGGAGAGTAGGGTACTTCGAGGATTCTCTTGCGGCCTCGTATGGGGTGTCTTGGGAGCCTCCTGGGGACCTCTTGGGGCCGCCTGGGCGCCTCTCGGGGCCCCGTTGGGGCGCCATTGGGAGCTTCAGGGGCGCTTTTGGGGCCATTTTGGAGGACATCGATTAAACAAGAGGGGAACTCCACTTTGCCTCCCCCTTGGGATCACCGAGCATGGCCTCTTGCACCCCTCTTGGAGCGCGTTTGGGGCGCCCGTGGGGCTCTGTTGGGCCTCTCCTGGGGCTCTCTTGGGCCCTCTTGGAAGCCATCGTAAGGCCTCGGATGCCCATCGGAAGCGAAAAGGTGAGAACGCAATCATCATTGATTATTCTTCGATGTTTGAAGAATGTTGGCCTCTTGGGGGGCCTCCTTGCAGGTTTCGGGGGCCTCTTGGAGTTGCTTGGAGCGTTATTTGGGCTTCTTGGGCCATCTTCGGAGCCATCTTGAGGCATCTTGGGCTATCTTGGGCCATCTTGGAGGTCGTCTGGGGTTCTCCGAGGCGCTCTTGGAGCCGTCTTGGGCCATCCTGGATGCTCCAACTACCCGCGCGACCACCCCCGTCCTGGTCCAGGGGGAGGGGGTATAGGGGAGGGGTGCACTGCTCCCCGAATGCAGGGATCGACCTAAACGGTGTTTGGGCGATGTCGTGGGCCGTTTTCGTTTCGGTGTCGTATTGCAGCAAGGGCGGATTGAAGACAAAACGAGGCATAACGAAAACAACACGAAAACGAACAACACTGTTTAGGTCGATACCTCCCCGAAGGGGAATGAAGGGGGTTGGACGAGACGCCGCCCGAGACCACCTGCGCCCAGAGGGCTGGTGGGACTGCATGGCGTTGCGGCCTCGGGAAGGCGAGGCTGGCGTAGTTTGGCAGGGGGCGTGGCGTCGGGCGCGCGAGCTTGGCGTACCATGCTAGGAACTGTGGTTTCAAGAACGCCACCCTCCTCCTCATCCTCCTCCTGCTTCTCCTCGTCCTCCACCTCCTCCTCTTCCTCCCTCCTCCTCCTCCCCCTTTTCCTCCTCCTCCTCCTCATCCCCCTCCCAGCGTAATACTTCCCAAGTGATTGGCATCGGTGGCGCAGGCTTACAGTCAACTGCTAGGGGTGGTGTCTCGGGGCTGCGAATCTGGCGTGGGTTGCAGGGGGTTGTGGATTGGGGAGCGCGGCCCTGGCGTGCGTTATGAGGGATTGCTGCTTCGAGGGCGCCACGATGCAATACAAGAGGTCTGTGGTATGGAAGGCGCATAATTGTTGTACTTCGCGAAGGGTTATGGCCTCTGGAGCGCGAATCTGGTGTGATTTATTCGGGGCTTTGGTTTCGGAAGCGCGAAATGGGTGTAGCCATCCGAATGATTGAGGACATGGTACCATTCTGGGGTGTTGGAGGGCTGCTTTCGGGCTTCTTTTCTTGCGTAAACCCAACCCATGTCAGCAGTGGAACCCGAACATATGGCATCTACAACTTGAACTTGGAATTGGAACTGGCGCACGGAACTGGAACACCTACCCCTTGCGGCCTGATTGCCCGATGTTCCGTGCCGTAGAGGCCGAGACGCGGCCCTCGGAGCCGACCGTGGACACGCAGCTTCTGGCGCGATGCTGCGAGTTGCTAGGGCTCTTGGTGCGGGAGTCGGGGCGAAGACGCCGCTGCGCCCATTTCTCAGGCGATGTCGGCTGAGCGCACGCCTGCCCTGAGCGCCATGCCTGAGGCTCCAATTGCGACCACGCCTGCCTTAGCGCCCGCCTCAGGTGTTGTCGCCCGAGGCGCCACTTGTGACCTCGCGTGCCTGCGTGCCTAAGCGCATGCCTGCCTCCCCCCTAGGTGGAGGCGCTCGTCGTTCCCTCGTCCCTCGCCCCTTGCCGCTCCCCCTCACCCGTATTCGTCGCCCCCTCCTTCTACACTTTCTCCTTCAGTTTCCGTCGTTATCATCATCATCATCATCATCATCATCATCATCATCATCATCATCATCATCATCATCATCATCATCATCATCATCATCATCATCATCATCATCATCATCATCATCATCATCATCATCATCACCGTAGCCATTTTGGCTCAAGTAACCAAGATGGTTCTATTCACTGCCTAAGCGGGGTAGGCTCCCATCCCAGCCCAGAGCGCTTCCATTCATGCAGCGACGGTCAGGGGCGAGCTGCCGCCCACCAGCTTTCCATATCTTCCATATCCTGGCGTGCTGTCTCTTCCGTGGCGCTGAGATCACTGCCGTTCGGTTGCGATTGGATCGGCTTGCCCCTCTGCTGTGGCCACGGCCGTGTTCTTCGCTATGGCTTCAAGCGACAGCTCGAGGTCCGCTTCTAGTCCCGCGCGGGGTCGTCGCAGGCAGCGACGCCGTGATGGTGAAACCAGTGGTTCCCGAAGTGATCGTGGTCAACGACGACAACGCAGGACGAATCGCGACGACTGACAGCTCACGCCAGTTGACCGCCGTGCGGGCGCGTCTGGGGGACCCGCCTCACAGCGTCTCGAACGACCTCCAGGGCACCAAGCAGCAGGTGACGCTGAGCTCTTCCGCGCATGGGAAGACTGTCCCACATTCCCTGATGAGGAGCGACGAATTGGTGAGGACCCGCTACACCACAGTGATCCATGGCAGAAGCCCGGGAGCGCGACGCAGCTCCTTCGTGAACCTGACCGTCAGAGGCTACATGGGCCAGGCCCCGCCGACATGGAGCAGCGCCTCTCTGCCGTCTTCTCTGACCACATGCTCAAAGCTACCCAGCGTTTTCAGCAAGAACTACCGCCATCATGCAGTCCGCGACCACCGCGCTCCAGAGTGAGTTCCAGCTAGTCATATCGCAGGTTCAACGGCAGCGAGGCCGCATCGACGCTTTCGACGCCAATCTCCGTGACCTCGGCAGTCGCGCGCAGATTGGCGAGCAGGAGCAACAGATGCGGTCGGACATTGGACGCGTTCAGTCTTCTCTCGCCATGGCGGAGGCCACGCTCCCGCCGCGCGACATGGCTGCCCTCGCTATCTGGGACCGCCCGCCCGACCCTCACCTCTACAGCACTGGTGCGCCCTCGGCTATCGAGCCTGCGGAGGTTCGGCCTTCGTTGGAGCCATGGATCGCAGCAGCGGGAGTTCCCCTCAGCGACGTCGAGTTCATTGGCGACGTTCCGTCGCGTAGGTTCTTCCTTCGTGTTCTGGGATGACTTGCTGCATCGCCGAGGAGTATCTCGCTCGCGCGCAACTTGCGCAATGGAGGACAGTGGATCACATTCCCAACATCGAACACATATGGGGCCATCGCGCCTCTCTACATCAACGCTGACAAAACACCCAAGCAACTCAGGCGATATTTACAATCCAAGCGTCTATATCGTTTACTCGCCGAACGGCGTCCCCAACATCACTTCCGTAGCATTGGCGACGAAGGCTTCATTTCCATCGGCGCGGTCCCGGCGCGGTCCCGCTTGTTGCGCTCGAGATCGGCCCCGCGGCAGCTGACAGCTCGCGGCTGCGGTGGGATGGGCAACTTCTTCAACGGTTCAACATCGACAAGGCTGCGGTCGCCGCCGGGTTCCAGCGGTTATTTCGTGCGACGGGCCCCTCGCTGTGGTCCATGTAGCCCTCGCTGGGCTCCGCGGCGCTTCTCTCCCAGCTCTTCGGGCGCGTACTTGGTCAGCTGGAATGCGCGTGGCCTGTGCTGCTGTCGCCCGCGGCGGAGGAGGCGCAAGCTTGCCGAGCTCGAGAAGCGCGTGCGGAGGGGCGCCATCGTGCTCATCCAGGAGTGCCACGGAGTCTCTTTGCAGCTGGAGGTTCTGGTAGCCAGCGCTCCTTTCCCGTGCGGGGTCTTCCACTCCCGGACTGAGGCCGCGCGCGAAGGTGAAGTTGCTTTCCTGGTCCCATGGCCGAGGGCACTTCCAGATCCAGATGGGGCTCGTTCTGAGGTTCGGCATCATCCTCTGGTCCCTGGTCGGGTTGCTGCGTTGGAGATTGATCATCCTGTCAGTGGCGCCGTCTTCAGGATTCTCAAGGTCCACAACTATGCGGCGGCGTGCGTCGAGTAGGAAGAACCTCGCACCTTCCGATGTTGAGGAAATAAGTAGCGCCGCCAGCTCGACGCCCCGCCGCCAGACCGCCCGAGAGATGCTCCGCACGGTGATCGATCGGCCTCCAGCCGCGCGGCGATCATAAGGACGAAATGGAAGCCGTTGCAGTCCATCACGCGTTTGCCGAGCCGCCTCGATCATGAAGTCCTTCGTGTAGAGCCACTGCTGGACAGGGGAGAAGCGGCCCAGGCCAGCGGCCGCGAGGGGCCCGTCTAGAAATTCCTTGTACCTGCCGTCGCGGAAGACCACATCAGGAATGCGGTGTTCCGCGGCGCGATTAGGAGCCTCGGTGCGCATGGTGAGGCAGAGCGCGGAGTGATCGCTCAGCCTGGACTGCGACATCTCCATGGTGTCAGCGTCGATGGTGACGAGAAAGTCAGCGTCCGGGATGAAGTGCTCAGGAATGCCGATGAACGCCCGATCGATCGCGGACGCCGCGTAGTGCTGGCGACTGAGAACATCCTCGGACGAGGCCGGTGCGATTTTTCACTGCCTCATCTCTCCCGTCTTGCGTCGTCTCCTCTGCCCGTCTTCTCCCATTCACCTGTTGGGCCTCGCGGCCCCCAATGAGTGCAATGCCGCCAACTGTGCGATGAGCCGTGCATCAGCTCCCACTCTATGCGTGTTGGCTTTCCATATTTACCAGAAGGCCGAGGCTTCCAGCGCCTTCGGTCAGCCGCTCCGCGCAGAGCTGCTCAATGGTGTCCTAGCTGCCGCGCATCGCGCTACGTTTAAGTAGGCAGCTGTGGGCCAGGATGCGGTCGATCATCATCATCATCATCCTTAGACATTTCGGTTCGAGTTCGTAGACATTTTGGCTCATTCCATTATGGCTCAAGTGAAACCCTGTGAAACTAAAGTAACATGGCGAACCGGGGATTCGCTTGACTTGTCCGTCTTGCTGCTTGCCCGACCCCTCCCTAGGCAGATCGATCTGTGCTGTAGTCAGAAGTGGGTTGCTGGGTGTTTCGCCGGTTTCCACCGCAAGATTGTGGTTCCTGGGAAGATATATTATGTCCTGGGCTGGGGCTCTGGGATCCTCGGGCTTGCGGTGGTCCACCCGCCGAGCGTGGATGCCGGCATTGGTTTTTATCGTCAGCAGTTGATTCGTCTGCAGTCGACGCTCCTCTCTGCCTCTCTTGCCACGAATCTTATCCTCGGGGACTTCAATGCGTTCAGTGGCGAGGGTCGCTTCCAGGTTTAGTCGGGCACCTTCACTCGTGGGGGCACTGCTCACACTAGGGAGTGGAATCAGTGGACACTGCACCAGCCTCTCGATGCTCGCCGGGGCTGCCGGGGGACTCAGATCGCGGGGGCCGCTTGGTTGGATCGGGTCTACATCGGTGCGCGCCCGCCTGTCTTGAACGATTTCGCGATCGCTGGTTCTATTATCGGTGTGCCTACCAACCTCGAGAATCCTTTGGGGCACGTTCCTATTGTTGCCGCGGTTGCTCCTAAGCCTCGACCTAGGCCTCGACCAGGCCCTGCCTGGATCCCTCGAACACCTGCGTACCAGTCCACCCTTGCTGAAAGGCTTTCAGAGGTTGACGTCAATCTAGGGCCCAAGGATCAGTTGGCAGCTACCTAGGTGGCGATGCATGAGGCCCACTCCGAGTTTCGGATCGTCTTGCGATGCAGAGAGGCCACTACGACCCACGAATTTCTTCACTGGGGTGTGTCGGCCCTTCGTGCCTGTCGAGCTGGTCCTTCATCTCGCTATATTCTAGTCCGTGCTATGCGTGCTTGCCCCGCTCTCTCTGGCGTCTTTGATGTTGGCGCGTGTGCTCTGATGGGCGATGCAGGCCTCTTCGCGCACGTTGCTTCTCTCAACGACGCTCCACTGGATGATGGAGACATTGCGATTGAGCAGGCCGCCTCAATTCCTGAGCGCGAGTTGCAGCGACGGCGCGCGCGTGCGCAGCGTAATCGCGAACGATGGTGCTCATTGAACCCCGCTGCCCGCCCCGGTTATATTCTGCGCGAGCACGCTGGTGTTCCTTGTGCGTCTCTTGAGCGCGCAGGGCATGAGCTTGCGCGTCATTGGGGAGGGGGTTTTGCTTCGGTCAAACCCGATCGCTCTCTCTCTCTCTCTCTCTCTCTCTGGGACTCTTTGGAACTGTTAATTCAGAAGGCTTCGGGCGTTTACCCTGACCTGGAGTGGATCCTGGATCGAGAAGCGTTTACTGCTTTAGTGAAAGCCACGGGGGTTTCTATGCCGGGCGTGGATGGGGTGCCATATAGCTACTGGAAGAATCCAGAAGTTCAGGAAAAGCTAACCTGTTCTATCGGCATTGCATCGCTCATCCTGATGACCCCCATCCTGCTAACTTTCATCGGATGCTCATGGTCTTCCTGGCCAAGAGGGGTCACCCCGCAGATGCATCGGCGGTGCCCGCTAGAAAGCCATCGGGTACCCGTCCGCTCTCCATGGGTTGGGCAGACTGCAAGCTGGTCACCTCTGCCATTTCTCGGTTTTTCTCTCTCTCTCTCTCTCTCTCTGCTGGGTCAGCGCTCTATCCTAGACAGTCAGACTGGCGTCTCTGGTCGCTCGATATTGGATAACATCATTGAGTGTGAAGGAGATGGGGTCTGGGCTCACCTTGAGTGGCAAGACAGCGCAGCGCAGCTCTTTATTGGTTTACGCGCCGCATTCCCGAGTTGGATGATCCAGTGGCTGCTCTTCGCCCTCAGTAAGATGGGCGTTCCGAGGTGGGCCGTGCAATTCTTCTGGCCCACTTCTGTGGCGTTGTGTTGGCCCAATTCTCGCTTGGGCGCGGCTCTCGCCATGGGATGCCCTGCGTCGATGTTCCTGTTCGCCCTCCCACTAGACCAAGTGTGCCGTTGGCTGAATGCCGACGACTTGGAGCTCTGGCTGGCCAATATTTGTACATATTTATTTCCGCTCTTTGACAAACTCTGTCTTCCAGCTGGGGCTACTGAGCTGGATCTGCATATTGGGGAATGTTTTATCCCAGTGGTCTGTCCGCAGCAAGTTCAGGCTTTATTTCGGTTGCCTCTATCTCTGGGGCGAGGCTGCGAGCGTTTCTCTGTGGTCACGTGGTGCAGGTACCTTGGGATTCGTTTGGGCCCTGATGCTCACCTCCGCTCGTTTCCCGCGCAGCTGGATAAATTCTCCCGCCGGGTCTGCGAGATCCGTCGGTGGTTGCTGGGCTAGCTGAGTCTTCTGTTGCTTTCAATGTTCGGGCTGTTTCAGTGCTGGGCTGTTTTGCAGTTTCATAGGCCGACCCCCCAACTGCTGCAGACGGAAGAACGGGCTCTTCAGATCCTTCATGCGGGTCCGAGGTACAGTTTTCACTGCGGGAATGATGAAGTATCTCAGGCATGCATGGTGCAACTCGCAATGTACGGCTCCGTCCCAGGTGCCCCAAGCTACAGCGTTCAGAACAGCACAGGACTCGGTGACATGGAGTTGGTACCAGAGGCGCCTAGACGAGATTGTGCAGAACTCCAATGGTTTGCATCCGTTTCGGCTATCTCGTGGTTGGTTCGCTAACTCGTTCCTGTCGTTTATGGCAGAGAACTATGGCGGGCATCTCCCTTGGGCTCGGGCGATTCACGGCGCCGTACTTGGTCTCCCAAGCGAAGTTGGCGTCGTCTCTCCCTGCAGACATTGGGCCCGACCCTTTTCGAGACGACATCGAGCGACGCGTTCTGAAGTGGATGCCCCCCCTCGCCTGCCTCCGTTTGGTTCCCCCCTTTCGCTAGACGTAGGCGCGCTGTCTGTGATTCGGTTTCGATGTTTTTAGTGGTCGCCGTCCTTCGAATTCTCTGTCGTCGCCTATGGGCGTCGGCCCGTTTTCGCGCCCGCCCAAAACCTTGTGCTTTTGTTGTCTGGGGGCCGCAGATGACCAGTGCCACTACCTGCGCTGCCCGAAAGTCTTGGAGCTTTTTTCGTCTCGGGCCGCCCCCCTTTTCCCGCTCGGATTCGCCGACCCGTTTCCAGTTCTCTGCTGTGTAGACGGTCGAGCGCCCGACAAGCCCCGAGACTTGGTATTTTGCAGCTGCTTGTGTGTTTCGTCCACGCCCGCTCGCAAATGCGAGCCGCTGCCGTGCC